GCACTACTGGGTATTGGATGCTGAACATCTGCATAGTGATATCTGGTAGTGACCTGCAGCCTGAAGGCTACCAGAGACGGTAAGTAAGGATTGTGGTGGGTTTTGGTTTAACGTTGTGATATGATTAGGATTACACTTAGGAGTTAAGAGTTAGGGGTGGGGTTTGATGTGTGGAATTATGGTGTGTGGTTGGCATTAGAGATTTCAAGTAAGATTTTAGGATTAGGTGATTAGAGGATTGGGATGGAAGGCTCTGGGTTTACAGGCAGACCTGAGGGGAGCTGTGGTATGCACACTGGTCAAGACTGGCACAACACCCTAGCTATGTAGGCAGTGGAGGTCAGTCCCATCAGCGTGGCGTGGGCCAGAAGGCTCCAGGTCTCAAGTCATACCTGGTGGGAACTGAGGTGCACAACACAGTGAAGTCTGGTAAGACTCACTGCCTCTGTTGCTGGCAGTGGTCAGGTAATAGCAGCCTGGTTTGGGGTGGAAAGACCTGGGTGATTAGGCAGACCTGGGTGTCGCTGGGTGGCACACTCTAGTCAAGGGCATTGTAATACCCTGACTCTTTCTGCATCAGAGATCTGATTGTATCAGCCTGATGTGAAGTGGAAGGCTTTGGATCCTGAGGCAGACCTGAGGCGAGTTAGTGTATATACCCAGATCCAGGCCACCACATTCTATCTAGCTCTTTTGGGGATAGAGGTAGATTTAAAGAAGCCTGACCTGGACTGGTTGGCTCTGGGTTTTGAGGCATACCTTGAGAGAAGTGTAGCACAAATCTTCTTCAAGCTCAGTACAACAACCCAGTTTTGTTGGTATCAGACGTTGAGGCAAAGCACCAATTATGAGCTGGAATATTCTGGGTCCTAAAGTGGACCTAAGGGAAACAGGTGTGGGCCCTAGTCATGGCCAGCATGACACCTGTGCTTGGTATGTGGTGGAATTCAGGGTGAAGCAACCCACTGTGTGCTGAAAGACCTCATTTGTATATAGGTATACCTCGGGGGGTCGCTGCTGTGCCCAATGCATTCTTTAGTCAAGGCTAGCTCTGTACTCTGTTTTTATTGGCAGCAGGGCCAGAGTGATGAGAATGAGAAAGGAATGCCTTATCTCTAAAAACACAATATTACTGAATAAGTATTCACTCGAAAATTCCTAAGTATATAATCAGTCATTAATTCATTCAGTCTTGTGTCTTTTCAGCAGTGTCTTCATTCCATATTCTTCTCATCTAGAGTCCTTTCTTTTGTCCAGTGATGTGGCTTTACAGATATGTCCATAATGAGCTCAAGACAACATACCCAGAGCACCCATTGTAGTTCTTCCGTAGGTTTCAAGTATTGATCTGGCTATGGATAGCTCACCAAATCTGGACTCTGTAGTCAATCGCACAGGATGTCTGGGAGGGCTTTTATTTGGTTGTTAACATGATCGTTATGCACCACCCCCTATGGTCATCAGGGGGCAGGTAGGCCACATCTAACCAGTCATGTTGTCCTGCCTTTGCGTAAGAGACAGCATGGAGAGATCTGGCTCAGCTAACTAGAGAACATTTCCTGCTCTTCCCCTGAAGACAGCAGTGTGGGTTGACCCCCTTACAACTTGTGAAAACCCACATTGGTCTTCCTCCCAGCAGGCACCTCAGTAAATGCAAGAGCTTCTCCTCAGTGCCCACCAGAGACTAAGGCTAAGTGTTGGGTGACTGGCCATATCCCCAGTGATTACCTATGTGTCCTAATATAGTGCTGATATGAGGTCTGTTAGATGTGGTAGGTAAAGTTTGGGATTGTGTTTTGAAATTATGGTTCTTTTAAGTGGTACGGTGATGTTTGGTGATGGGATTTGGAATTAAGGGTTGGGTTTTAATGCTTAGAGTTTAGAGGGTAAGGCTGGAAGGTGCTATGTCCCGAGGGGAATCTAGGGGGAGGTAAAGTATATGCCCTCAGTGAAAGGCTGGCTAGACACCAGTGGTGCTCCATCATGGTAGAGGTTGTGTTGAAGTGCTCTAGCATGGGCTTGAAGGGTCTGTGTCATGAGTCAGACTGGGGGGAGAGTGGTTGTGACACCTCACTTTATTCAGTGGCAGAGTTTGGGTTGAAGCTGACTGGTGTGGGCTTTAAGTCTCTGGATCAGCAGACACATCTGGGGGAAGCTGCAGTGCATAACCTAATCAAGGCTGGCGTGATGCCCTGACTCTTATCAATTGCATTGGTCAGGGCAAGGCAACCTGGCAGTGGCTAGAAGAATTCAGGTCTCAAGGAGGACCTCGAAAAATCCAGAGTATATGCCTCAGTTAAAACTGGCAGGTCATCCCAGCTGCATTTGTGGACGCTGTTGAGTCAAGGCATCCCTGCAGTTGCTGGAAGGCTTCAGGTTGAGGAAGATTTGGGGTAACAGAATCTGGTCAAGGCTGATGTCCAAGTCCTGTTTTGTTCCCGGCATTGACTGGATCAAGGTGGTTCAGTGGTGGCTGAAGGGCTCCAAGTCACAAGGAGTACCAGGGGAAGCTGGACAAGACTGGCATGTCACTTGGGCTTTGTCAGGGACTTTGGACAAGGCAAGTGACCTAGTCGCGGCTGGAAGGATCAATGTCCTGATATAGTCTTGGGGGAGCTGGGGTACATGCCTCCATCCAGGCTTGCATGACAGCCTGGATCCATCGATAGCATTTAGAGAGAATCGGACTGACAGTGACTAGAAGGCTCCAGGTCCAAGGAGGGACCTGGGGGGGTTCCAAGGGGTATGCCTATGTCAAGAGCTGTGTGACACTCCAGTTTCATCAGTGGCATTGTTTGGGATGATGCAGCCTGATTATGGCTGGAAGGCTTTGGATTATGGGAAGGACCTTGTGGGAGGTGGTGTGGTGTTACCTGGTCAAGACTGTCAGAACATCCTGATTCTGTCAGGAGCATTGGTTGGAACAAGGTGGCCCGGTGGTGAGGGGAAGGGTGAACTGGATTTCATGCCTACATCAAGACTAGCATGACACTCTACCTCTGCTCGCCTTGCTACTAAGGGCAAGGTGGCCTGGTAGTGTCTGGAAACCTCTGGGTCCCGGGGAGGACCGACCTGGGTGGTCGAGGTGTGTGTCATGGTCTATGCTGGGATTATACAAAAACTTCTTTGACAGCGTTGTTTGTGGTGAAATGGCCCAGCTGGAAGGTTTTGGGTCCTGGGAAGGACCTGACAGGAGCCAGGGTGCAGGCTTTGCAGCATGCTTTGTCAAGGCCATCATGACACCCTAGCTCTGTCAGTTTCACAGGTTGAGTTGAAGAGGTGTGAGGTGGAATGATCTAATTTCCAAGGTGGGCTGAGAGGAAGATTGGGCATGTACCCCCGTCAAGGCCAGTTTTGCACTTCATCTCTGTCAGTGACAGGACTAGGCTTTTTAAAAGGATTGCCTTAATCTCCAAAACAGAATGTTATTGTTTAAGGAATTTTTCACTCTATTTTCCAACATCAGTAATTATTCATGAATCCCTTCAGTCACATATAATCATTGCTGCTGTTGATTGACCTTGTTTATCAGTGTTCTGAATCTACTTTCTTAGGCAGAGACTTATCCAGTAATGTGACTTTACAGTGATTTCAATAATGACCTTAGGTATCATAACTAGGACACCCATTATAGTTGTTTGCTAGGTTATCTGGTTATAGACAATTCACCCAATCTGAACCCTAAATTCGATCCCACCCAATAGTTGGGAGCAAGTTTTTCACTCTGCTAATGTTACTTTGTCTTGCACCACCTCCTATGGTCAGCAGACTGGGCTCAAACTCAGATAAGTACACATCTTGTCCTGCATCAACCCAGATAGCCAGCAGGGGGAACTTTGCATCAGCTAACCAGATGCTTGTCTTTTCCATCCCTGATGAGAGCAGTGTGGGTGGATCCTGTTTTCATACAAATGAAAATTTTTGTTTTTAATTTCTCCCAGTACGCATCTCAGCCACCACAAGGAGTTTCTCTTCATTGTGCACCAGGAATGTCTGATGGCCATTGCATACTTTCCTCTCCCACAGTGAGTATCCCATTTATTCTTCAACATGGTGCTTAGGCACAATCTGAGGGTAACCAGACATGGTACATAGGGGTTGTGTTTGGGTTATGGGGTTACGGACAGTTTAATGTTATGGTTATGGTTATGGGCTAGTAGTTAGGGATTGGAGTTTGAGTTTAGGAATTATGGTTTGTGTTTTGGCATTGGCATTTGCTGTAAGTTATTTATTTTAGACTATTAGTGGATCATGGTGGAAGGCTCCAAGTATACATGCAGACCTGAGGAGAACCTTTGATACACTCAGTGGTCAAGATTACCATAATATTCTGGCTCTGTAGGTAGTGCAGGTCACTCACAATGGCCCAGTATGGCCTGGAAGACTCCAGGTCCCATGTAGTATCTGGGGAGAGCTGGCGTGCACACCATAGTGAAGTCTGGTATGACTCCTTGGTTCTGATGCTGGCAATGATTGGGTCAGTTCAGCTGAGTGTAGGCGAGAAAGCTCTGGGTGATGAGTCAGACTTGGTTGGATATGGGTTGCACACTTGGGTAAATGTTGGTGTGGCACTCTGACTTTTTTGGAGCAGAGATTGGGTTGATGCAGTCTGACTACAAATTACAAACAGGAAGGCTCTGTTCCTGAGGTAAACCTGGGGAGAGCTAGTATGCATGACCCAGTCACGGAGAACACCATACTACAGGTTATTTAGTGGTAGAGTTAGGTTCCAGAAGCCTGGCATCGACCGGATGGCTCTGGGAGATCCCCTGAGGCAGGGGTCTTCGATGTACTCCCTGGTTAAAGCTGTACAATGTTTGGTTTTGTCAGTTGTAGAAGTCTGGCCAAAGGTCCAAGTAATAGCTAGGGGATTCTGGGTCCAAAGCTGTCCCTACGGGAAGCTGGAGTGCAGGCTCTATTTAAAGCCAGCATGATATCCTAGCGACGTATGAGTTGGAAATCAGGCAAAAGTAAGGGTGTGGGCTGGAAGAGCTCAAGTATTGATGTATACCTGGGGGACGTGCAGTGCTTTATGCAGTCCCGTCCGGCTCTGCATTCTAGCTCCATTATCAGCAGGGTTGGGTGGATGGGGATAGGAATGGGTGCTTTAATTCCAAAAACACAATGATACTGAGTAATTATTCACTCAAAAAATCCATAAGTGGATAATCAGTCCTGAACTCATTCAGCACCATGTAATCACCGTGAGTACTGCTTGACTTTGTTTAGCTGTGTTTTCAGTCCATCTTCTCAATTCGAGTCCTGGAGACCCTTACTTAGTCCAGTGATGTGAGTTATTAATAACCTCAGAAAACAGACATAGAACATCTATCATAATTCTCTGTAGGTCTCAAGAGTTGATCTGGTTATAAACAAATCATCACATCTGAACCCTGAAGTCAGCTGATCCCACAAGACACCCAGGTGATTTTTTGTTGGTTTGTTTGTTTCGTTATTTTTTGCTGTTAATGTGACTATGTTTTGTACCACTTGTCATGGTCAGCATGGGCATCTAGGCCACATCTAACCAGTCACATTGTCCTGCACTGCCCCCAAGAGCCAGCAGAGACAGCTCTTGCTCAGGGCCTTTCCTGCCCTGCCTCTGAGAACAGCAATGTGTGTGGACCCCCTTACAAGTTGTGAAAACTCACATTGATAATTTTTTCCCAGTAGGCACCTCAGCGAACACATTATCAGCGAACACATTTTCTTCTTCCAGAGAGCATTGCTGGGCATCAGGTGGCTTCCCCCATCTGGCAGTACCCATGTGTGCCCCAACCTAGTGTTGATCCACATCCTGTGGAATGCTATATGTCATCGGTAAAGGTTGGCATTGTTGTATGGAGGTATGGTTAGGACTAGAGGTAGGGTTATGCTTACAGGTGTTTGAAGTTTGGTGATGCAGTTAGAAGTTACTGGTTAGATTTTATTGTTTTGTGGTTAGAGGATTAGGCTGGTAGTCTGCTTTTGAGGTGAACCTGGGGTGACCTGGAGTGCATGCCTCAGTCAGTGCCAGCTTGACTCGAAGTTTTCATTACGGTGGAGATTGTGTTAAAGTGGGCCAGGGTGTGCTGGCTGTGGGTCATGAGGTGGACTTGGGCAGAGTTTGAGTGCATGACCTGGTTAAGGTCATTGAGACATCACAGTTCCTTCAACAGCATAGGTTTAGTCAAAGCAGTTCAGTATTGGAAGCCTTGGGATTTATAGGTACACTTGGGGGAAGCTGCTGTTCTCACCCCAGTCAAGGCTGGCATGATACTCTTGCTGTGTTAGCAGCACTGGACAGGGAAAGTTGGCTGGATGGTGGCCGGTGATCTTTAGGTCATGAGGAGGACCTGGAAAAATCCATTTTTGCCTTGATCAATCCCAGCATGACAGCCCGGCTCCATCAGTGTTGGTCTGGTTGAGGTATCCCTGTGGTTGCTTGAAGGCTTTAGATCTAGAGCAGGATCTAGGGTAGCTGTGATGAACTCACTGGTTAAGACCTGTGTACCATCCTTGGTCTGTCAGTGGCTTTGGTTGCATTCAGGCAGCCTGGCAGCAGCCATATGCTGTGGGACAAGAAGAGAAATTGGGGGAGCTGAGGCTTGTGCTGTGGTCAAGAGCAGTGTAATACCCTTGCTCTGTTGGCTACCCTGGTGAGGGTGAGGTGGTCCACCATTGGCTGAAGGGCTCTGTTTATAGAGGAGGACCTTGGAGGAGCTAGGGCGAATACCTTGGTAAGTAGAGGCATGACACCCATGTGATGTAGATGGCTTTGGAAAGGGTGGAATTACCTTGTGGCTGTAAGGCTCAGGGTCCGGAAAATGTTTGGGGGGTCTAGAGTGCATGCCTCAGTAAAGACTGGCACAGCACCTCAGCTCCTTACACAACATTGGTTTAAATTTGCCTGGAGGTGGATGGAAGGTGTTAGGTCTTGTGAAGGACCTAGGGTGAGCCTGGACAAGCCCCGGGCATTATCAGTGTGACACTCCAGCTTTGTTGATGGCTTCAGTTGAGGTCAGGCTGGGTTGTGGTTGCTGGATTGCTGGAGATGGAAGGTAAATGTATTAATTGGGTTATGAAGATAAGATTGTGTTAGTGTTAAGATTATGTTCATGGTCTAGGATTTAGAAAATGTGGATGTAGTTCAGTTTACGGTTGAGTTTGAGATCTGGTGCAGAATCAGGGTCAGCATCCTGAGAAGGACCTGGGTCGAAATAAGGGCCATGCCCTGGTCAAACCAGTGTGACAACCTGGCTCTGTGGTATTTGTTGGGGGTATGTGGTTGGAAGGCTTTGGTTCCTGGTGGTACCAGGGGCAGGTGGTGTTATTTCCTAGGTCAACACTGGCATGATCTCCTGGGTTTGTGAATGAGAGTTGTTAGGGTGAGGGGACCGTAGTGGCTAGATGGGGTTCTGGTCCCAGGGAGGATCTGGGGAGAGCCAGCATGTGTGCTCTTGACAAGAATAGCGAAACAGCCCAGCCTCATTAGCAGCCTTGTTCAGGCAAGGAGACCTAACTCCAGATCCCAAAGAAAACTTGAAGAGGCAGGAGTGCATACCCTGGTCAAAACTGGTGTGACACTGCATTTTCTCAGTGCTTTTGGTCAGGGTGATTCAGCCTGACAGTGGCTTGAAGGCTCTGTATCCTGGGTAGCATCTAGGGGCAGATGGGGTGCATGTCCCTGTCAAGACCAGCTCAATACCCTGGCTTTTTTGGAGGTATTGGTTGTAGAGAGGCATTCTGGTGGGAGTTGGAATATTCCAGGTTATGGTGGGGACATAGACTGAGACAAGGGTGCTTTCCCTAGAGATAACTGGCATAACACTGCAGTTCAATTATTGGTGTTGGTTGGGTCAAAATAGCCCTGTGGTGGCTGGAAGGTACCATGTCCTCGTGAGGACTGGGTTGAACCATGGTGTATGCCCTAGACGAGACTGGTGTGACACTCCAGCTCTGTTGGTAATGTTGGTGAGTGTGAGGTAACCTATAGCGCGGCTGGAAGTCTTTGGGTTTTGAAAGGACTTGGTATTTGTGTGTGTGTATGTTGAGGGGCTGGTATACTCTCTGGTCAAGGTCAGTGTGGTGCTCCAACTTTGTTGGCAGTGTTTATGGTGAGGTGGTCTGGCAGTGACTGTTAGGCTTTGGGTCCTGGCGAGTAACTGGTGGTATCTAGGGCTCATGCCTTGGCAAGGCCAGTGCAAAACTTTGGCATAATTTCTGACAGAGGTCAGTTTGAAGCAGCCTGGCATGGATTTGAATGCTCTTGGTCCTAAGGAGGACTGTGAGAAAACTCATATATGCACCTGTGAATGCCCGGCTTGCAATCCATCTCCGTTGGTGGCTGTACCAGTGGCTTAGAAAGGAGTGCCTTAGAAATGACAACACTGTTAGTGAGCAATGACATTTGCAGTCAAATTCCCTCATTTGATAATGACTCATGAATGCATTTTTATCCTGTGTCCTCATTGCCACTGTTGACTGACCTTGCTTATTCTTGTTCTGAATCCATCTTCTCACGTAGAGTCTTGGTGACCCTTTCTTAGTTCAATAATGTGCCTTTTCAGTTATTTCCAAAAGATTTCAGATACCACACCAAGAACATCTATTACAGTATTTCTTGATGTTTCAAGAGTAGATCTGTTCCTCGATGATGAGGTAGACTGATCATACCCTGTTGCCAGGAGGGTGTTTTTAGATCTGTAAATGTGACTTTGTCCTGCAAAAACTCCTGTGGCCAGCAGGCGGAGTTCAGCCTCATAGAACCACATACCTTGTCCTGAAGTGCTCATGAGAGCTAGGGTATACATCACAGTCAAGTTCAGTATGATGTTTTGGCTCTGTTGTTGGTAATGTTAAGGTCAAAGGAGCCCAGCGTCAGCTGGAAAATTTCGAGGCATTAGGCAGACTTGGGTGGAACTGGGTTGCAAAC